CACACACACACACACACACACACACACACACACGCACGAAAAAATAGAGCAGAGAGTCCCTCCAAGATATTCTTGGAGGGGAATTTTCCATGCTAGCAAATCCTCAGAGTGTTTTCAGCCTTCATCCCTATTCTGATACACTGAATCATAATCTCTGGGAAAGAGGTCCAGGAAATGCAATTTAATAAACTCCCCCTGAAGTTTGGGTGTTCCTTCTGGTGTGCAAGCACAGGTCTGAGGCAGTGACTTCATATTTTACAGAGAGAGCAATTTAGGGGCACCCAGCAGCAAGGAGGGGGAGATGGGACTTGTGCATGGCAACCCAGGGGGTAACTCAGTGTCTCCTTTGTTCTTTGCCCACAGATTCAAGATGAAAAGAGGCAGAGAGAGTTGCGTCTTGAAGACAGAACAATGGGTTAAACATAATTTAAAAAAGATAAACATCTGCTCAGTGGACCAGTGATCAGACTCCTTTCTACCCTGGACTCCAGAGAACACATGGCTTTATCTGGCCTCCCTATCCCCCAACCCCACACCAGTCCTTTTGCACCAACTTTGCTGGGTCATGGAGGGTCTGGTGGGTTCTGATAAGCTATATTGTTGAACTTTATGTATTTAAATAATAGAACCTTCCTTTAATTCCTGCACCCCTGTGCCTCTTGGACCCCTCAGGGATTTCAGGGTGCAAGCTTGATTGGCATTGATAGGCGGAGTCTGGGGGCTGAAGGGTGGGGGAGTGGGGAGACATGTTGGACCTGGTGCCAAGGGAATTGACTTCTTGTCAATAGGATACAATAAATGACTCACGCCTCTCTGCTGACTGTCTTTGTCCTGGGGAAGTAAGTGCCGACTTGGGCTGTGATGTAGATCCCCTGCTTTCAGGTTTGGCAGTGGGGAGAAGGCACAGTGTAGCAGCAAGCTGGTGCCTGGGGCTGGGTCCACCTTTAGTTGCAGGACACTCTCCCTCCCTGTCCCACCCAGGGGGTTCAGGGGCTGATGTTATGCAAAAGTCACAGCTGTCTAGCTGGAGGGGGTCTTGTGAGGTCACTTGCCTATACGATGTTGCTAGCCCCATTTTACAGATGAGGTGACTGAGGGCAGAAGAGGGACGTGGACAGGCCTGAGGATACATAGCATGTCGGCGTCAGATCTGGCATTAGAGCCCAGGGCTCCTGCCTTCCAGGACAGAACTCGTTTCCATGTCCCAAGTTGCCAAGTGCCTGCCTGACACAGCATGGCACAGGAACCCTCTCTCCACTAGACAGACGCTGCAGAGTGGGTTGGCAGGGCCTTTTCCTTGGAGAGGGTCCTGGTGAGTGTCCAGCATGAGAAGATCCAGGTCCAATAGGATGCCAACACAGCTTAACCGGAGGGAGGCAGGCTTGGGAAAAGCAGGAGGCTCCTCTGTGGACATAGAAGAAGGGACAATCACAAGCTCCAACTTGTGTAATGTTGACTCTTGGGGCAGTAGCAAGGGAGGGCAGTAATTTCTGAGTCTTGGCATTGGCATCCTTTTTTAAAGCCCAGCTTGGTAGCTGTAGGGGAGAAGCTCTCATGTGCTGTATCTCAGGGCTTCTCTTTTTTTTTTCCCGGCATTCAACATGTCACACATCTGGCCCATTCTCCTTAAACTGCCTCCTCCCCTCTGGCCCCACAACTGCCCTGCTTCACCCCATTTCCCTTTGCCTGGACCCGTGCAGTAGGCAGTTCTCCTTTGCCAACTGTCTTTCCCAGGGCCACAGGCTACCTACCCTTCCTGGCACCCTCCTGCCCTCTCCATGGCTCCAAAGCCTTAGGCTCCTCCCTCCTTCCTGCCTTTGAAACTAACTCCAAACTGTCTCCCTTAACATTGCAATTCCTCTATAACCACACCACTACCTTCCTTTCTAAACATCTCTAACTTTTCCATTCTGGAGCCAAACTCTGACCACCTGGCCATATTCCCTCCCTCTGCCCTCTTTTCTATCCAAGGTTGATCTTGTCCTATCTTCTCTGTCAAGTCCAATGCTAACTAGGACTGGGTCATCTAGTTTTCCCCTGGGAGTCAGGTGCACATAATGTGTGTATTACTCTAGGATGGTGGGCTGCTCCCAACGGGGAGGCACTGGGGCAGGGATACCAGTTAGAAGCTGAGGCTGGGAGTAGAGGCATTGTTCTAGAATATCCTGGGCTGGTAAGTCAGGCCCTCCCTGACACTCAAATGAGTCTGGGCTAGCCATGGCCAGGGCTGCTACATCTGCATTCCTCTAGTGCCCTCTGCCATTCCCCTGCACCTCAGAGCGCCCTCTATTGGTTGGGAGTTACCCCTGGAAGAAAACTCCACTGTTAGAGAGTTCAAACAAAATGTATTTTCTGCAAAAAGTCAGCAGTCCTATGATTGCATTCATCTTTCTATAATGACACCCTTAACAATGCCTGACACCCACAAGGCATTCTCCTCCTCAGATTGCAGTAGCCCGTCATCCCCATGATTCTTACAGGCAGGCTCACAACCCCCGGGGGAGTTAGGCAGGAGAGAGACCCTGCCTGCAGCTTACAGAAGAAGGAACTGGGACTCATGACAGGAGCCAACTGGCCCAAAGCCCTGTTTTTTGTTTTGTTTTGTATTGCTTTGGTTTTTAAAAAAAGATTTTATTGGGGAATTGGGGAAGGGGAACAGCCAAGTTGTTGTCCTTCAATCTTAGTTGTGGAGGGCACAGCTAGCTCAGCTCCAAGTCATCCAGTCGCCATCTGGCCACCTCAAATGGCAACTTGAGGCAGCTCAGCTCAAGGTGCCGTGTTCAATCTTAGTTGCAGGTGGGTCTAGCCCACCATCCCATGCGGGAGTCAGTTGAACTGGCAACCTTGTTGCTAAAGGTGCACGCTCTAACCACGGTACCATCCAGCCACCTATTGGCAGCTCAGGCGCAGCTCACTGGCCCATGAGGGACTCAAACCGGCGACCCTGTTACTCAGAGCTCACACTCTTAACCAACTGAGCCACTCGGCCGGCCCACAAAACGCTGTTTGTTTGTTTTTTTTAAAAACATCACCAATATTTAAAATAACCAAACCAGCAACAATTCAAATGATATTAAATATTATTTAAGACACAGTACACTTTGCATCATAAAACAGAAAGCACCTTGTTTGAAAATTACAGTAAAAATTGGTCCAGGGTCTAGACAGGAAGGCTAGAGGAGAATAGAGGGTCCGCTTTGGTACTCTGGCTTGGTCTTAGTGTGGCTGGAAGAGTTGAAGTCCTCGAGGAGGGAGATTTTTGATCCAGGTATTTCACATAATCCTGGACCCACTTCTCATTTGGGTTGGCACAGATGTCCCTGGACAGTTTGGTGCTGAAGCTGTGGGGGAAGGCATGCCAGCACAGTTAGATGGAAACACTTGAGGGTTTTACCCAAGAGATCCCATCCTCCGTCCAGGAGGAAGCGAGGGTGTGGAAAGAAGGGGCTTCTGGGGGGAGTCGCTGTTTTTGCCACCCTGGGGGGAACTGGCCTGGCACCCACCAAAGCCACCTCGAGGGTGTGAGCTGGTGTCCATTCAGGGAGCAGGCCATGGGACGTTACTGGCTCTCTCTGGGCCTGTTTTTGATATAATAATAGAACAATCTGGACCACTGTAGTCTGGTTAGATCTCCTCCCCTAATTTGGTAAGATCCCAAATTAGCCTGATGTCTGTCTTCTGGGGCAGAAGTTTGGATTGGAGCCCATGAAAAATGGGGTGGGGGTTGAGGAGAGGTGGGGGTGGAGGCAAGCAGGGTTTTTCTACCCACATGACAGCTTTCTGGGCACACTGGCTGTTGGTGACTCGATAGCTCTTCAGCTTTGGCAAGGGGATCTTCTTCTTGCTAAATGTGTAACAGCAAGTGCGGGACCGGGCATTGAGGGCCTCTAGAAATAAAGTCACAAAGAAAAAGCCCATTAGGAGGTGCTAGGTGTTTCTCAGCTTGGCTGCAACAGGAAGTGGAGGAGAAGGAAAGCAAAGAAGTAGAAGTGGGTCTTCCCCACCCCAGCAGATGGGACCTGCAACATATGGCTAAAGATTGGAAATCAGTTCTCTCCGCTGCATGCGAGAGACGCGTCGCTGCTGACGGGGGGAGGCCAATGTGACCTGGATATGACCCCCAATCTGCAGAATTTGGGAGGATCAGCTGGGGCTAAAGTAAAGGCCCTGGATCTGGAATGAGCAGGTTAGGTTATATTCCGGCTCTGCTATGGCCTAGGAGAGGGATAGCACTTCTCTTGTCCCCAACCTGGGCTTCTGTTCCCTGTCTTTAAAATTAGATGTTAAAATGAAGCTCTGAGGACCCTTGCTGCTCTGATAGGCTGGGAAGTGGGGGCACTTTGGCTTAGGGCTTCCTAGAAGGAGAGAAAAACAGAGGGAAGGAGAGAGAGGGAGAGAAGGAGGGGGAGGGCTTACCTGGCTGAGCCAGCACCTGGGTGCTGAAGGCGGCCACGGCGAGCAGCAGGCACAGGAGGGCAGCGGAGACCTTCATGGTGGAGCGTGAGGACGTGAGCTTCAGCTGAGAGTTGTTGGTGCCTGGGCTTATCTCTGCTTCTATGCTTCTCTGGCCATGCTGCCTGCTTTTTATAGGAAATAGGAAGTGGAAGCTTGCCTTTGTCATGGTCAAATTAAGGTGAAGGGGTCTCCTGAATCTGCTGACTCGATGATGGCCGGGCTGCCCGAATTTTCCAAGAAATGCAAGAGGGAAGCTGTGGGCTACAGCAGGGCTATCATTGTTTCCTTTCAGCCTTCCAGGCCACAGGGAGGGGAGGGGGGACACCAGATGTGCTGCCACTTGCCACAAGAAGTGATCCAAAAAGTTTTTCCACAGCCTTGCTTTGTAGAGGAAGAGTGCTTTGTAAAGGTTTCACACGTCTTATGTATTTAGTCCCGACGAGGTATGTACCACGATCATCCTGCCCACTTACAGGGACAATCACTGAGGTGCAGAGAGATGGAATAATTTGGCCACAGGCTCATGGGAAGTGAGTGGTGACATTGGAAGAGAAAGCTAGTCTGTTCACATATAACCACCAAGGTGGTTTCACACTTGCATTTAGCTGCAGAAGTCTTCTTTTCAAGCCACATTGTATGTGGAAGTCCTATGCTTGAGACAAATGGAAGCCAGCTTCTGGTGACAGGGGCTCCACACATCACATATTGGAGCCCTTTTCTGCACCTTGGGTCCAGAAGGATTTGAAAACCACTGTCTAGGCCCCTTGTTTTCAGGAATGGCAACACGTATTGAGTTTCTAGAGTTGTTGATGGGAGGGGGAGTGTGCCTGAGCCAGGAGCTGGGAGGAAAGCTCAGCTATGGAGTGGGGGGATGGAGGGAGCAGAGCTGGACTCCTCTAGGAAATGCGGCAAGGCCTCTTGCCTGAGATTTCCATTTGCCACGCTCACTTCTGGCTCCCAGATTTTGCCTTTTTTTTTTTTTGTGCCTGCCTGGAGTATTCTTCCCTCTACTGTCTATTCTTGCAAGTCTTTCCGCTCCAGCAAAACAAGCCCAGGGAGAGTAAAAGACAGAAAAGAAAGAGCCAAGATTAGTGAAATTGAAGAGTATATTAGGTTAACATTAAATTCGTGAACCCATCCTAGGAAAAGTGCTGCATAACTCACTGCTGAGTATCACTATGGTCACCTTCGAAGGACTCCCCTTGGGAAGCTATGCACCAACTCCAGCACCTAGTCCACCTTTCAAAGCAATTTTGGAACTCGTTTTCTGGAATGGCCATCAGAGCTGTCGTTGTATTACACTTGATGTCCTGAATGTCATCAAAATGTCTTTCTTTCAATATTTCCTTTATCTTTGGGTAAAGAAAGGAGTCACTGGGCCAGATGAGGTGAGTAGGGAGAGTGTTCCAATACAGTGATTTGTTTACTGGCTAAAAACTCCCTCACAGACAGTGCCGTGTGAGCTGGTGCATTGTTGTGATGCAAGTGCCATGAATTGTTAGCGTAAAGTTCAGGTCGTCTAACTTTTTCACGCAGCCTTTTCAGCACTTCCAAATAGTGAACGTGGTTAACTGTAGACTGACAGTGTAAAAAAGGAGGAGAAAAGCACAAATAGCCAACAGCAGGAATAGAAGACAGGCAAGTCACTACAGAGCCTGCAGACACCAAAAAGAAAATAAGAACTTATGGCAATAAATTTGATTTTGATGAAATGGATGGATTCCCACAAAATGTATCTTACCAGTTTGCAAGAAAAAAATGAAAAAGAAAAGTAATTCTAAAACTATTAAGGAAATTGCATCAGTAAGTGAAAATTTTCCTACAAAATATTCTCCAAGCTCCAGGGGCTTGAACAGCTAGTTCCTCCAAAGCATTTCAGGAACTAATAATTCCAATCTTATGCAATTTCTTCCAGAGAATATTATAAGAGCATGCACTTTTTAACTCGTTTTATGAGTCTTAAATAACTTTGACATGAAAACTTGTCAAGAATCACAGAAGAAAACAAGATTGCAAGCTTGTCCCTCCAGACACACACTTCATTGTTTTCCATTCTCTTTTGTGGCCTGGGAAGCTAACCTGTGCAGATCACATTAATGGGATTTCAGGTCCTCTGGCTATGGGGTTGGGTTTGGACACTGGGGAGCCTCTCAGGGCATTGGAGAGACGGGGAAGAGTGTAGGTGAAGTACTTATTTCTCTGCTGTCTCCACCCTGTGCCTCAGCCTGGATGGAGCCCTCAACCAATGGTTTCCACTTCTCACTAGGTGGCCCACTCCATGACTTTCTCCATGACCCTTTCCAGCTTTGGGGAACCATGTCCTGTCCTCTCCCCTTCTGCTTTAGGGGTGGTCACTACTCTGTTATTAGCCTTAGAGTACTGAAGCACCTTGTGGTTTCCCCATATCCAGCCCACGTCTTGGTAAATAGCATCTTCATTAAACCCTCCTCCAATCACCCAAATTTAAGCATCATCTATTTCTTTCTGGGACTCTGACTGCATAGGTTTGGGTGCCAGAAGTGGTTCCTGGAACTACATCTTCCAAATGGGATTCTAGAATTGAGGCACTCATATATTTAAGGAGCACGGTTACAACATATGTTAGCATCATTATTACTTAAATTACCACCAGGGGTAATATGACAGACTGTTTTAACAACCCTCCAGATGATTTGTATGTGCACTAAAGTTTGAGAATTACAGCTACCCCACAGCCACCTCTGATCTATAGTGAATAGCCACCAGAGAGCTCTTAACGATTCTGGCCACCTCTCCTGACCTCAGCAAAACATCTCACAATGCCTCCCAGTACAGGAAGTGTCCCCTGGCCTTCCCCAGAAGTGCAGTTAGGGGATGGCTAAGCACCTTGCACATAGTAGGTCCATTTCAAAAGATCCGCTTCCCTGAGTCTTTAGGCTTCTTCCTAACATCCCAGGGAAGTTCCAAAATTTCAACTTCACTGACAACGGGCTTTTTTTTTTTTTAAGATTTTATTGGGGAATTGGGGGGATGGGAACAGACAAGTTGCTGTTGCTTTTTGGTCTTCAGTCTAGTTGTGGAGGATGTTGCTTCACTGGCCCAAGTTGGCACCATCATTGCGCTCTTCCCAGGGGAGGCAGATCAGTCGCCGGCTTCTGGACGGCCGCTCACTGTGGCTGCTGGCTGCACACGGTAGCCCATGGTAACCCATTGGGTATGCCGGTCGCTGGCAACTCACAGCAGCCCAGCTCCAGGTTGAGCTGTTGTTCAGCATCTTAGCTGTAGAGGGCAGTGTCACTGCCCTCATATGTGGGATCCGAACCAGGGCCCTCTGGCGTCCCAGGCCAGTTCTTAACCATTGCGCCACTTGGCCAGCCCCAACGGGCTTCTTTTTAAGCCTAGGCTCCAGTCAGCCAATCTAGCTGAGCATTAACATCTCTCCTAAGTATCTGTGCCAACACATGTGATTCTAATTTCTGGGCAAGTATGCTCGTGTTAATGAATTTGGCTGATTGAACCTTGTATTTATTCTGTACTGAAAATCCCCAAAATGCCCCAGACCTCCAAATTGAGTGGGGAAGGGGACATTCAAATCCTTCCAGCTGTAAGGACTCCTGTCTGTCCTTCCTTCTGCTTCAGGACCCAACATCTCATGGGAGAGTGTGTGTAGGAGCCTGGGACCTGGAGTCAGCCAGACATGGGTTCAAGTCCTATATCCACCACTTACTGAGTATGTAATTAAAAGCAAATTGCTTACCTCTCTGAGCCTCTAAGAGGAAACGATTGCTAATTATTACCTCATTGTGACGTTGTGAGAGTCGAATAGGATAATGCATGGAAAGTGCTCAGCACAGTGCCAGTGATTACTGTTTCTAACCAGTCCCTGGGTGACGCTGTTGCTGCTGCTGTGGACCATGCTGGGAGAACCACTGCTCTGACGGGCTGGATTTGTATCTCAGTGCGGGGAATGGAATCTGAGGGCAGCAGGGAGGGCAGAAGCAGGATGGTGGTGCTTATTAAGCAGCAGAGACAAGGTGAGCACCATTACCCCAAGCAGCCCCAGAGCTGGAGTGGTAATCAGAGTGCCCTGGCCAGCAGGGATCTGGGGCAAAGATTATGGGATCCCTAGAAATAGATGGGATGCTTGCTAAGGTACTGCTTGACTTCTAGCTTTCATGGGCAGAAACCTAACATGAGCCTCCATAGAAGAGATTCATGGCCCCTTACCTGATTATCAGATCTAAGCCAGTTCATAGACCTGAAGGCCCTTAATGGGTAAGGAGGCCAGGTCCCATTCAGGAAGTGCCCTTCAATGCCAGGTTGCCAGATGAAATACTGGACACCTAGTTAGATATGAATTTCAGATAAAATGAGTAATTTTATAGTATAAATATGCCCTTGCAATGATTTTATAAATCTGGAAACCCATAGGTTTATACTATAAATCATCCCCTAAGACTTTCCCAGAGGAGCCTGCTGTCATATAACCAGGGTAACCCTGCACTGGGGAAAGATATACTGAAACCTTCTGGCATTTTTATTATTTTTTTAAGATTTGTTATTAAAATATAGCTAACATACAACATTATATTTGTTTCAGGCATACACCATAGTTTTCAACATTTATATACCTAAAGAAGTGATCACCATGATAAGTCCAGCAACCATGTGACACTCATCACACTAGCATAAAATTATTGACTGTATTTTGCATGCTGTATGTTACATCACCATGGCTTATTTGTTTTATACCTGGAGATTTGGACCTTGTATTCCCTTTTACTCCCTCTACTTTAAACAAATTTTTACTTACAGTTGACATTCAATGTTACTTTATATAAATTCCACGTGTACAGGATAGTGGTTAGACATTTGTATAATTTAAAAAATGATCCCCCTGACTAGCCTATAGTCTAGTCACTTGGCACTATACATAGTTACTACCATATTATTGACTATATTCCTTATGCTTTACATCCCCATGACAATTTTGTAACTACCAATTTGTATTTCTTACTCCCTTCACCTTTTACACGCTGCCCCCAACTCCTCCTATCTATCACCCCAACAAATCTAGTACCCATTTGCACCATACATAGTTATTAC